ACCCTCTTTTGGTTGACAATGAAAGTTTCATTAATTAATAGAGATATATGTGCTACGATTTTAAACCATCTCACATACAACTAAAGAGAAATGCAATTACACAGTAGTATAACAACAATGAAAAATATTCAGAATTTTGTTACTTAGTACTACGGACTAGTGATATTCTTATACTTGTGTGTGAGACATCTTAGATTCGATTCTCGCGAAAAAATGAATTTGAACCACATTATTATTAACTTATTGTGAGGCTTAGCTCAATCCCCCCATTCCTTTAGTGTTGATAATATTGTTTGTTAAAAAAAATATATTCAGAATTCCAACTTTCTACCATTTGTTGAAAAAGGACCACATTCGCAATTTTACCCAAACAGAACTGATAAAACGTAAAAACAAATAAAAATGTGCAAGTCCCTATAATTGTGCAATTTACATTTGAGTCCATCAACTCAAATAAATGCTCTGAAGTCCTTCAATTGTTTTGTCTAACGCTGGTTTGGGTCGAGATCCCGAACCGAAATCCAAAGTTCGAATCCCAAATCAATAATTTTTTGAGTCGAGATTTCAAAACCTGAAATCGACCCAAATTTTGCGAGATAACCGAATTTTTTTTCAGGATATCGGGATGGATCGAGATTGGGTCGTCAAGCACAAATCCAATTCATACGAAGCCGAATTGCACCATCACTCTGCAATTCAAAACAAAATTAAAATTCTGTGAAAAGCTCATAACAATCAAACAAGCATAACCTATAACAAAATTCAAATCAAATAAAGAATCAGATTACAACCCATTAATAAATAAAAAAAACCACATAATTAATCACGAAACAAGAAAGTTGATTCATTTCAACAGATCTGAAAGGATGGCTTTTGCTCCGATTCGGCTAGGAATAGAGGATTTGGGTTGAGCAGAGACAGTGCGAAGGAGAGAAGGGCTCTGTTTTGGAGTTTTGGGAATTGAAAAGAGATAGAGGAGGAGGAGGAAGAGAGGGAAGAAAGGGGCAACGGCGGCAGGAAATGCAGAGATAGCCGTTATGGTAGTAGTCGTAGCCACTGACCTTAGAAATGCAAAGGCGGAGAAATGAGAACTCGGGAGAGATGAGAGTGTTGAGGCTTGAAGCTTCGATGAGAAATGTGAAAGACTGAGTGTGTGAAACCCTAACTTAGATTGGACGGTTGAGATTAAATCTCAACCAATTCAACGGTCCAGATAATTTATAACCTCTAATTTAAATTATATATATCTATTATATAAATATATTGTTGTTCGGTTCAGGATTACCGAACTAAAGATATGTTGGAAACTGTATCCCGTACCAAAAGTTCGGGATTATTTCGGTTCGGGTTGTTCGGATTTTTTTTCCAGCCATAGTTTTGTCCAATGTTAAGGGAAACAAGGAACTTTCACATACGGTATAGATCATGGGCAGAAGCCAGATATGGAGGAGCATGGGCACAAGCCACTCAATTGCCACCAAGTTTTCCTGTGCATGTCAGCATGGATCCTATTTTATATTCTTGTGCACGTCACCTCCCCTTTGTCCCTACCAAAAATCAGATCTTCAAGTTTTGAACTCAATTTAAAGAGAGATTGATTCTTGAATTAAAAATAATATGCGTATAGAGAATATGTTGTATATAGAAAGAGACTGTATTGGTTTAAAAAAAAAATTCTTTACTTTCTTATTTTATTCTTCATTTTTTAGTCCAAGCAATAACCATTGGAATTGCACACACAAACTTGCATGGTGCAGGTACACTATCACATGGCATCCCGTGTCAGCAATACAAAGAAATGTATTTGTATTTTTGTCACGTGTTTTTTATTATTGACATAGAACATCATCGTGGGTCATATAAGTTATTCTCATTCCAGCTTTGATTTGTGAGGCCAATAAGTCAATATTCCACCAACATGGGCCCAAATAAGTCAACAATCTAACGGTGACAGTCAATGGTACTATATAGCCCACAGTGATGCCAACTATTTAGATCAAATTTCATAAACTATATGACATAATTGTTGATGATTAGATTATTATTTAAGTATTGATTAATGCGCTTATTTCCTATTTATGACACACCACATGGTTAATAAATTTAGTCTAAAAAAATTGATCTACCTAACATTACTCTATTTTCCCCTTTAGATACACACCCTACAATTTCATTGTATGTATGTATGTATGCATGTACGTACGTATGTATCTACCAATCTCAAAACATCTGCAATTGTAAAAGACTCAAATGAGTAGGCGTGTACTAGAAAATCAATGGAAAATTAAAATGTTTTTTCCTTCATTTTTGTTGGAATTTGTTTGCTCCTCTTTCTTCAAACCCTCAATTCTAGCTAATTCCATTACTTAAAAATCCCAACGGCACAGAGATGCCATGGCGGCACCTTGATTTCCAAGGTGGCAGTTTTGTACTGGGCTTTTGTAGTCCCCCAGATTTCGGGTTTTCCCAGAAGTGCTTCTTGGGAATTTGGCACAACAGATCAGTCCCATCACTCCCAAATGTTACTTCGGTCGTAAAATAGCACGGACAAGGACTGTCTGTTCTGTTTTGTGTGGTTACAGTTAAGCCACGTTAATATTTTATATTATTTATTTAATAAGATAATAAGACAAAAATGAATAGTAATATAAAATATTGACGTGATTTAACCGTGATCACATAAACAGGAAGACACGGAAAAGCAACGAAAGTAGGAGAACAGACAATCCTTGTCCAAGTAGCACAACCCCATCAGTTTCTGGTTTTTATATGATTAACACCTCGGGCAGTGCTGTTGCCTGGCCAATATCTTTGTCCAAACACCCCCGGAATCCTGTATTGCAACTCTTGGATTCCGCAATCTTGTCCTAAGAGAAGCAAAACATGGAAACCCGAGAAACTACCTGTAGCGAAGTTTTGGCTATTCATCCGGTACAAGTTTTGAACTCAATTTAAAGAGAGATTGATTCTTGAATTAAAAATAATATGGGCGTAGAGAATATGTTGGATATAGAAAGAGATTGTATTGGTTCAAAATAATTTTTTTTTCTTTACTTTCTTATTTTATTCTTCATTTTTTAGTCCAAGCAATAACCATTGGAATTGCACACACAGACTTGCATGGTGCAGGTACACTATCACATGGCGTGTCATGTCAACAATACAAAGATTTCACGTATCTTTTGTTATTGACATAGAACATCATCGTGAGTCATACAAGTTATTCTCATTCTAGCTTTGATTTGTGGAGCCAACAAGTCAATATTCCACCAACATGGGCCCAAATAAGTCAACAATCTAGCGGTGACGGTCAATGGTACTATATAGCCCACAGTGATGCTAACTATTTAGGCCAAATTTCATAAATCATATGATATATTTGTTGATGATTGGATTATTATTTAAGTGTTGATTAATGAGTTTATTTCATATTGGTGACACACCACATGGTTAACAAATTTGGTCTAGAAAATTTGATCTGCCTAACATTACTCTATTTTCCCCTTAGATACACACACTACAATTTCATTTTATGTATGTATGCATGTACGTACGTATGTATCTACCAATCTCAAAACATATGCAATTTTAAAAGACTCAAATGAGTAGGCATATACTAGAAAATCAATGGAAAATAATAGATATATATATATATATATATATATTTAGTTGTATGCATGTTGAATGTTGGATTTAAGTAATTTGATAGTAGACTATATTAGAAATAGAAATTTGAAATTATATAGTTTGGAACTTTGGAACATCAATTTGACTTGGTATGAAATTTCAAATTGGTATTAGGTAAAAAGCTTAAATTTCAATTGATATGAAATTAGGGAACAAAATTTTAGGCCAAAAGCCCAAATTTTAGCCTATAGCCCAAAAATATCAAATTTCAACCCAAAAAGCCAAAAGCCCAAAACCGAAAATCCAATCCCGATCCATATGAAATACCAAAAACATTTCGAGAATTCCGAAAATTGAGAATACAGAAATTTTGGTTGGGATTTGGAATCCCATATTTAAACTTTGGTTTGGGATTCGAAATCCTATTTTTGATTTGGGATCCCATACCGAACCATCCATAGATGGCAACACCTTGATTTCCAAGGTGGCAGTTTTGTACTGGGATTTTGTGGTCCCCAGATTTCGGCTTTTCCCAGAAGCGCTTCTTGGGAATTTGGCACAACAGTCCAGTCCCATCACTCCCAAATGTTACTTCGGTTGCAAACTAGCACAACACCATCAGTCATTCATCTGGTTTTTTTTACGATTAACACCTCAGGCTGTGCTGTTGCCTGGTCAATATCTTTGTCCAAACATCCCCGGAATCTGGTGTTGCAGCTCTTGGATTCCGGCAATCTTGTCCTAAGAGAAGCAAAACATTGAAACCCGAGAAACTACCTGTAGCGAAGTTTTGGTTATCAATCCGGTACGAGTCTGTTGGCATTACTAGCTGTTGCTTCCAAGGTTTCGAGCCGAAAGCGCCAGAAAAATGGAGCTTTGGAGAGTACCAAGAAGGATGCGTGCGGACTCAACCTTTGAGCTGCCAAGAGAGACATGGGTTTGTGAAATATGGTGGGGTGAAATTGCCAGATACCACAAAGTCCCGGGCCAACCGAAGTTCGAGTCTCGTGGAATGCAGGGACATTTGCTCGAGCAATTGCTCTGGTATGGCTCACTCAATAGATATGCAGTTACTCTAATGTTTTGATCTTTTTCTTCTCATTCATAGATATGCAGTTTCTCTTTATACTAGAGAGAACAGGGAGGAAAAACGAAGGAATTTGTTTAGTCCGTGCGCAAAAGTCACGGCCACTGATAGCTTAGCATTCAACAGGAAGCTGGGAGAAGGTGGTTTTGCTAATGAGAATTTTCGTGAAGAGTCTCCCACCAAGATTGCAGATTGAGGAATATTCACAGAGATCTTAAAGCAAGTAATGTTTTACTTGATAAGGAGATGAACCCGAAAATCTGAGACTTCGGAGTGACAAGAAAAGTGGTCGAAACGTAGTAAGTAGGCATAACATGTCTGCTTACTATCGACTGGTTTCTTAGTTCATCTGTTTGGCTTCTTGGTGCATAAATTATCACACAAAAAAATTGATCAAAAAGCTACCGAGAAAAATTCAGATTTCAACTGCACACCCAACATCCCAAAAATTATGTAATGGACACCCAAACTAGCCTAAAAACAAATAACAACACACACTCGTGCCGAATTCTGAGCCTAAAGAAACACCTACTACAAATACTTGTTGAAAAAGTAAGTCCCTATTTTCCCTTTCTTTGTAGTCTTTCTCTCATCAGCCCTATGAATAAACAATCTCAATGTAAGCACAACTGTATCTCTAGAACAGCTCTCATTGTCCGTTTTCAACGCATACTCACCTCCGTTATCGGAGCCGCTATGGATTACGAATTCGTTTGTACTTCCATATGGGATTGTGACAAATGTGTTCGGAGAAAACTTCTCTGCAACTACAACTCCGCTTCCACTTGGTCCTCCACTGCCCTTTATGCTGTAAGCTCCCCTCTTTATGGCCAGTGTTGCAGGCTCCCATATGTCGATGTACCCGGCGAACTGGGATATCTTGAATGAGGCATGGCCCTTGTGAAGAATCTTCTCTATCTGAGATTGCACTTCGGGGTCGCAAGTTATCTTCTTGTGGTCGTTGGCGTACACCTTTACGAGATCCCCCTTTCGCTTCCTGTTGTCCAGAGGCTGAACTTCAATAGCAAGGTATGAATCCACATCATCAGCAGTTACAAGGTAGTTCGGTTGCTTTGCTCCGTCAATGTAGTTAACCGATCCGTCTTGGAGATGTCTTACCCACTCAAAGTTGCAGCTGGTTGTTCCGTTGATGGAGTATCCGCATGCTTGAAGCTCGTGTCCTGGAAAAGCTTCACCCGATATTTGAAGGCCCTCTATAGCTGGTAACGGGTCATCATCTGCAGCCTCTGAATACGTTGAAGAACCCTCTTCCATAACTGGCGGTAGGAAATGGGGATACGCGGAGCTGGATTCGTTGTGTGGCGATGCATAAGGAGATGTTCCTGCACTCCAATTGGATGAATCTCTCTCATTGTGGTTTCCCTCTGCATCTTGATCATCCATCTCCCTGTGTGTGTTCCTGATAGGATCACGAAACGTCACCTGTCTATTGCTTGTTACTTCATTATGCCGATTTCCTTGCGTATCACCTGGAACAACAGCATGATTAATGGGAACATCTTGGGCAGCAATAGTCCGGTTTGGAACAGGGGAATACCTATGCCCCACGGCCAGGTCATTGTGTTCCACATTGTTGGCGACACCCCCACCAAAACCACTCTGCTGATGAGGATTCCATTCCGGGGTTGTCTGAGCATCAGAGGTAGCAGGCGCCCTGCTTCCACCAATGTAAGAATATGCTTGCTGATTCTGAGCAACCATTTCAAGAGCATTTCTGCTTACATTCAGCAATGCTGCTCCAGCAACGGACTGAGGTGGTGGCGGTGGTGATAACTGCGGCGCAGAAACATTAACATTATTAGGCTGCTGATTCGAATCTGATCGCCAAGGCGTTAACTGATACTGCAACTCCTTCAATTTGGACTCAGTAAGAAGCAACTTCTCCTGCAAATGCCTAAACAAAACCTTCACATTACCAACAATTGATTGCGCATCGGGGACGGGTGGCTGCAACGAGTACTCAGCCAGAATCGGCAGCAAAGACGAAACAAACGTCGATCTCTCCTGCTGCGCATCCTGCACAGCGTAAGCGAGCCGAATGTTCTCCTCAATTATGTCTTGCCTGTAAGATAGAGACTTTGATGCAGCATCCACAAGGTCCTGCTGCTGCTGATCAAACGCCAAGCGCATGTAAGCAATGCGCTTCTCCAGCACATACTTTTCGTTCCGAATTTCCGCCTCTTTGATCGAATAATCCCCCAAATGCTTTCGCAATTGCATAATTTCTTGCTCGTGCTCATGAACCCTAGCAACCAGATCCTTCTTCCACATGCTGCTATTAGGGTTGTTCGATTCGGTCAATGGCATCAACCCATTTCCGTAATCCCCCTCCGTGCTCGACCTACCTGGCGACAACGACGTCGTGGTGGACGGCGACGACAATCTCGATATCCCGCTGTTCGCGTTATCAGCCGCCCGCGGAGTACCCGAAACCCGAACCACCTTCATCCCTCCATTGATTTCGCCGCCGCCTAATTGGGTCTCTCTTGTTTCCGATTCCCCGCGACTATGCTGTGCAGAACCGTGATTCGCAATCCTCTCGATTCGATTATCGACGCCGGGGTCAACTACCTGATGAGCTTGGTCCTGAGATCCGCGGGCAGAAGGCGGCAACTGGGCAGCCATGGATTCTTGGAGCTTGTACCTGTGCAACTCGAGAATCTTGTGTTCGAGCTGATTCCTCAATCGGATGTTCTCTTCCACCTGCTGCTTGATTGTGGCCTCCGCAGCTTCCATGGCGTTCATAACCTGAATCAAGCTGCTGTCTTGATTGTTTGGGGTGGCGGTGGGGGTAGAAGAAGGAATTGGGTCGGCGGCGGAAACCGTCAACCCTGAGAATTTCTCCGCGACTTTCCAATCGTGACCGTTCTCCATTGTTTTTTATTTTTCGGTCTTGGTGGTGGTGGTGGTGGCTTGGGGGTTTTTCTGGTCTCGCTCTGTCTCACTTCATTATTTCCCTTTGTTTTATTGTTTAAGTGCTCCAAGCTGTGCTTGTTTTTTTTGTGTTGCGTTGGGGCATTGTTTGTGGAATTTTGAAGGTCCAATGTGTTATTTATATTTGACCAGGTCTTGTGTATTGAGCCCATTTTATGATCTAGAAATAATTTATGGGCTCTTTTGGAGATTCTTCTTTGCTTATTTGACCCACTCTAAGTCTTCTCCTAAATTTCATTCTCTTTTCTTTAAGTAGAGGATGATATTATCATCTGTTATGATTGATTAGTTTGCTCACTAATCATTTTCCCTTTAATTAAGAGCGTTTATTCTTGCATCGTGGACCTGGTTCATTCTTCAGTTTTTCTTCTGCCGTGTTATATTCAAATTGCAAATTAGGTTGTTGTTGTTGTTAGCAAAGACCTTATAGTTCAAGTAGTTAATAGCATTTACTCTTGCTCTTAATGATCTGTGTGCGGTTCCTCTTTTGTCAATAGGACAATATCTCTCGTCTAAATCAATAAAATAAAATTTAAAATTGATTCTTGAACTTTCATTGTAGTTTGGATATGATTCTTAAACTAAAAGTTTGTTAATTGAGGTCTTTGAGCTCGTTTGGAATTGCTTCTTTAAAAATTACTTACAGTAAAATTGCCTATACAAGAAGCACATCAAGTGCTTTTTTAAACTCAAAAGCACTTCTACCTTTTTGGTCAAAAGTACTTTTAATTATTTTAAAACCACTTTCAAACAGAACATGTACCATTGGAATCAGACTTTGCCATCAAATGACGCACATTTTGTTAAGTTCAGCAAAGTTATTTAACAAATTTTTAGTACAATGATCAATTATAAACTAGAGTAAAAGTTTCAAAGACTATTGTAAAGTTCTCTCAAATAAAATAAATGGAGGCTCAATGGGTCACTGCCATTTAAAATAGAAACACCTTGACAAGTGTGGAAGCAATCTTATCGTATGCGTTAAGGTTTTATGATTATTGGAAACCCATGATATACAATCATGAGCTCAATGCAATGAAACATTGGAATCGTCATGAGAACAAATCAATAAGCAACCACCTGGTCACAAACTAAGCCTCTTTTTGCTTGCTAATTGTGGGGTTTTAAAGCTAGAAGCCTATTAAACATTGGCAAACACCAGACTCCCCAATGATGCAAATTTCTATACTTGTCACACAAGTCTCTTTGCACCCAAGCAAAGACATTTCGAGTTCCATTTGCCCCGTTCTATGAGCAGGGTCGGTCCTGAGTTTTCAAATATTCGTGGTGAAATTTCAAATGGTGATTTTGTAGATTGATTAATAGACATTCGTTTTACAAACTAATTAACTTTATTAACAATTAGAAAATAATGTATGTCAACTAAAAAAGGATTACAACCGAATGGGAGGAAACCTATGTGATCTAGAGACCATGACTAAATAAATAAACGATGCCAAGATTAAGGGGGGTGTATTCAATTGGGATTTTGAGGGATTTTAATTCTTTTAATGAATCTAGGAGTATTCAATCAGGAATTTAAATGATTCTCTGAAATTCAATGTGTATTCAATCAGGATTTTAAGATAGTTTATGAAAATCCTTAGAAATCCGGGTGTATTCAATTAGGATTTTAAAGAAGTTTATCACATTACAGGTGTATTCAATTAAAATTTGATTTTAAAGGATTTGATAAAGTTGAGGAATTAGAGGGAATTGGAGAGATTTCGTAGTGTATTTTGAGCATCCACAAATCTCACCTCTCCCCAAGAGATTTCAAGGGAATTGAATCAAAATTTTACATGGAATCTCTACAAATAAATTAAACTCCATAAAAATCCATGGATTTGTAAATCCATTAAAATCTCTCAAATTCTCAATTGAATACACCCTCCTAAAAGTCAACATAAAATAAATTGGAGAGTTAAGGATTGAGAGATGAATACCTTCTAACACCCTAAAAATGTACAAAAGATATAGGCATTTGTGCATATTACAATTTGTTTAAAGGTTGAGTTTATGGGTTTATTTGTTCTTATGTTATTGTTTGTAATGAACAAATAAGACTAGAAATAGCTCATAGGCTATATGAATGACAGTTGTTATAGCAGCTATGTGTCTTAAGTTGTACACATGTAGTGCACGTGAGTTGAGTCATATAAAGTACCCTAACACAAAACACTAACACTTTGTGGCGACAACACGGTTGCAAAAATCTGACAAGATTTTGAGTTTGGATGTTAATTTGATGATTCATTAAAAAAATTTGGCATTGAATCACTATTAGATAAAGAAAGTTTAAATTTAAATCGTTTTAGAAATGAGGCACTGTTCATTTACTAGTTTTTTTTTTTCGTTTTTAATACACATGGACTAAATATAATAGGGAAATTCTTATAAAAAATAATTGGGAAATAATTAGGTGCCCATAGAAAAGAAAAATGCTCATGTGTCTGTTAAATAATTTAAAAAAAAATAAAGAAAGAGAGACATTAAGAGGAATCAAACACACATTCTAAATGCAACAAAAACCACTGCTACTAAAGAAACACTTGGATAATTAATCAAACTGCTTAATATCTATGCGAATATAACAAAAACTCACATAAAGTATATTTTTGGTGCCTCCGATATTTCGGGCCCCAGACAGTGCCCTACTGGCTCTGGGCCAGGGGTGGCCATGTCCATGAGTAGAGCTCAAGCAAGTAATAATGGAGAGATAGGAGAAAGTTTTATCACGCGTTGGGAACTTGACAAACTAAAATACAATATTTACATAAATGATTACACTACGAATTTGTTGTGGTCTTTTATAAAATCTCTTGACTATTGGGCCGTGCATGTAATTAATTTGAGAACGATATCAGTGTTGGACTAACTAGTAGTAATCCGTTGGATCAGGTGTCTCAAACCTTAACAGGTAATTAGATTGATAAAAACTCAATACCAATCTTTTAAGTCCCAGCTGCCAAGCTTCACTCAGTTCCTTTAGTAAATATGTATCCGAAGGAGAGCCGAAGCTCTGCCACAAATAGAAATACTTGTCTGAGTTCTCGTCTCCCAGTTCTGCATTTTTCAGAATGCAAAAGCGAGTTATGTGATAATTAGTGAATCTTATCGAGGCTCCAACACGGATATGGAAGATTCAGTCGTTGAAAATGTCTCTTTCATCACACCGGAAAGGGAAAATGTTTCGTTTTTACTCGAAGATTCTGCTTCAGATGATGAATATTTTCCTATAAAGAAACCTGGCTTTTTGGGTTGAGGCAATGCACTCTCACCACCTAACATCAGAACCACCGATGACATGGTTGGCCTGTCTTCTGGTTGCATGTTGCAACGCTAAAAGGACTTAACATGTCATGCGACGCAAGACTTTATCGTTCATATCGAGTCTGATGAGTGCCATTCATAATCAGCTCTAAGTGTCCGCCCTTCTTACCCACAACCGCCACGCCTGAGGCACCATGATATGTCACAAGAAACAAAAACACTTAAATCGTCAGTCACAAAACAGAGAACACACAAAGTAATGAGGATTCAATAGTTGATGAGATTTTCGGGTTCCTTTGTCAAGTCTGGAATAAGATAGGCTGAGATTGTGATTCTGGATCATAAAAACCCTCTACTTACTCTTTCCACTTAGTGTCTCCAGCAGTAAATTACCGAGCTGAAACACATCGGGATTATTATTAGAGAAATGACCACCCATCGAAATATTTCTTGGTGCATATAGCCCACTCTATACAAGAACAAAACAAAATTAGGAGTATGCTTAGTTCGAGACAGATCCATATGAAAATTCCAAAAGGACATGTAACAGAAGATCGCCTCCAAAAAGTCTAGCCTATAGGCTTACCTCTCTTTTTTTCACATATTTTGTCTGTAAGCATATTTAAGCTGCTTTAAGAAAACCTCAGCATGGGATGCAATAGAATTCCACCTAGCGGAAACGGATGAATATATAAAATAACGGGGACATGATCGCTTTACAATTTGAATGTGAGTTGTTATGTGGTTTAATGAAATGTTATCCTCTGAAACTTTTGCTCCTTCTTGAAGAGTAGTAGATGGCTAAAGAAATCCCCCAAAACAATGGAAAGCGAGCGGATACAGCTATCGCTATTCTCTTCGTCTTAGACGGAATTTCTGTAACCATGTTAAATTCATCAGCCAGGTCCAAAAGCATCACCGTATAGTCAAAACTTCAATTAGTGTCATCATCACTGGAAAAAATTAGAGAAAGATAGCATAAAAGCTGGGTGGGGAGTAGGGTTCTCAAAAAAGTATAGGACGAACATTAAAGCGGGGAAATAGACAACAGATTAAAAACAATGATTTGATGTCAAGCACTCCTAAATACTTATTAAGAGAAGAAATAAGGGTTTCACAACGAATCAGAGCAAGCACCGGACATAAGATCCTGCCCGCTGTCAGGAAGCTGCCAAGTCTGATCAGTCACCAACCACGTCAGTCAATGCCTCCTCCTTTGACACTAGAGCTTGCATAAGCAATACAGACAGTTTTTCAAGCAACTTGCCTGCATTCCTTCAACACTCCTACTTTGTTCCACCTGAGAATTTGTGGCATCCGGCAACTTCACACACCTCATATTTAAAAACAATCATCTGGTTTGGACGGTCAGCGGCTTAACACGCACGCAACCCGAATATATCTGCATATTTCCAATTCTGAGGGTTCTTTGGTTGGAATCCTTTTAGCTGCAAACCTCTGAAACTAATTTCACACATTCCTTGGGCCGGATGGATGTACAACTGTCTTTGAACGCTGAAACAGACTTGAAAAACCAAAAATCTAATCTCAGGGTCTCCTGACTTGAGTAATAGCTTCAGCTGCAGGTGAGGAGTTTGAAGAAAGAGAGGGACACATGATTTCAATGACATGACTTGAAAAAATTGGTTCCATTGTTTTCTGGTCTTGGAGTTGTTGTTATATCTATATGCTACTGCTACTACTGCACTCGGCAAATATGAAGTTAGCAGATTTAGATAAATTTTGCCAGAGAAAATAAACATAAGAACAAGATTAATAAACACAAGCAGTGAGCCCGCGCGTCTGTTTTTCAAACTGTCTTAAAATGTAAAAAGTAGGGCATATATACGTGAGAACATATGTGCAGAAGGGTTATATATATAGATGGAGAAAGTGAGGATGCTGATATGGCACACGTTAAAGAGACAAAATTGCTAAAAAACCTCTGCAAATCACTTGCAGCATGTTTTTCAATTGCCCATTCTTGTGATTTTATTAATTTTTTGTTCTAATTAAAAAAACCGGAAATTGACAAAATCATTTGAAAACCCCTCCCTAAGCAAAATAATTAACTAATGATCGAGAAACAAACTTTGTTCAAGGCAATCGATCAGATCTCGCCTTGCATTGCTGGTTCCAACACAGCACTCTGTACACAAAATCCCAAAAAAAAAATCAATAAGTAAACCTACTGAATAAAACTCAATGAGGTAACCTACTTAACAAACCTAATTACATGCTTAAAACTCAAAAATTCAAAATTGTTTAGAAAAAGTTTCGATTCAGACCTTATTTCAAAACATCTCTTCTGTTCTTCTCAGGCTGCGGACAAACCCTCCACCAAAACTGATTTACAGCATCTGTTTCTAGCCATCATTATGAGTCAATTTGGAGATTTATAAAGATCTCGAGAATTAATGAAAATTCAGATAAAAAAAATCATATCAAAGAACCCATAACTTCAAAAAAAGATTGTTCCTAAACCAGCAAATTTAAAAAGAATCCTAAAAAAAAAAAAAAAAGGTAAATCGATCCGATATAAGACATGAGTAAATTAATTTCATAAATATGATCATAAGCATGCGATTCTAATACTGCTGTTTGTATGAACAGTAAATTGATTCGATTAGCTTTAAAACTCAACCATTGCCACAAATTCACAACCTAGCAAATTGAGGGTTTGTAAGAGACCTTCGCCGAACCCAAAAAGGTCGGAAGGCCTGAAACCGGTCGGAGAAACTCAGATAGTCGTCGGAAAAAAAACACCGCGGCTGGTTATATGGAACTCCTCGGTTTAGGGGGATTCGAGCATGCAAAACCTTGCAAAAGTTACAGATATCACACACGACACACAACCTTAGACAAGCCTCCAGCTTTAAGGGCATTATATGCAGAGTATACAGTTTCCTTCAATATTCATCTTAAAATGAACTAATATTGAACATGCAATACCTTAACGTATCTCCTAAGAGTGAGAGAAGTTGTTTCCAGGTAACGGAGGGGCCCAATTCGCCGGCGATCGGCAGGAATTTCGGTCGTGGTTGGGAGGCGTGGTGAGTTGCGCGCGGAAGGGAAGAGAGAAGGAAGACGACAAGAGAAACAGAAACAAACATGGCATAGAACGTGAATAAAGAAATTAGTGAGGGTAAAACCGGAACAGTGTTTCAAGGCAAAATGGATTTTAGGGCATTCACCAGGAACCCCAATTCCGGTGACTTTTGGCCCACCTTGGCCCCACTAGTTGAGCTAAAATTGAATTATTAGGGGATTTTGAACTTAAAAGGATTTTTCACCATTAAATTTCATCAAAGCTTACACTAATCAAGATTTAACGGTTAAAACTACTAAAGTAGATATTTATCGTTCCCGTGATACTCTAATTTGGAGAATGGCTATGTATCTTGAGAATGAATTTCATATTGATAAGTTGAGGGATGTTGCATGTGCTTATAGTTAGTTGGACTACTCCTTATATTACCAATTAATTTTATGGTGGAATCTCAACTTTCTTCAATGTACACCCTTAAGACGTTATGGTTGGTTGGTAAAACCAAAACTACAGTATCACTTAAGACGTTATGGTTGGTTGGTAAAACCAATACTACAGTATCATTTAAGACGTTATGGTTGGTTGGTAAAACCAATACTACAGTATCATGTATTTTTTTTATCTCATATAATATCTTATTATAGATGTAAAACGCCACGATCGATTGAAAGGTGCATGCAAAATGTTATAATTTTAAGAAGAAACAACTGCAGATGCGCCCTGTGTCCCATTAAGGCCATTAAGATTATGTCATCTGGCATCAATGCCAAGGATTTGAGTGTCTCGTGTTGTGAAACCCTAGAGCAACTCCACTCATGGAGTTTGCTCGGGGGACAGGCTCCAGGAAAGGGCCCGAGGGTCAGTGGGAGGAGGTCCAGCGTTGAAGGACCCGAGTGAGGGTGGGAGCCCGAGTTGCAGGCTTGTGGAAAATTGATAGGCTTGCTGCCCGAGGGGGGAGGGGTCATGCTGACGCAAGGGAGAAAAAAAAAACCATTTTTTGTGTCAGGCTGGGTCCGGTTTTTTTAATTTTTTTTTATCTATATGCATTATTTTCACTTTTTCTATGATAGGTGTTGTATTACAGGAAGAAAAAAAAAACATTTTTTGTTTTCATCATTACTTTCTTGGCAAAAGAATTAAAGATATTATTTTTAGATACAATGACACGTGGCGCAACGAGAATGATTTAAAAAATTTTATTCGAAATTACAAATAATTTTATTTTGTATTATTTAAACAAACAAAAAAACTAATATTTTATTGCCTATTGCCAGGGGGAGGGCTCCAATGGTGGAGATGCAAATGACAATTACTGTTCATTAAGGGCAGTTACTATTCATTAAAGGCAGTTACTGTTCAATAGGATGGATTCAATAGTGGATTGCCAGGGGGGATGGCTCTATGGGTGGAGTTGCTCTTAAGTGACAAGTCCTTGCTACTAAGGATATGGATTGTCTACCCTCCTCTCATACCCTTTTATTTTTGTAGTCATAGTTAAGTCACGTCAACATTTTATATTCAAATTGTTTTTTGTCTTATTATTTTTATAAAAAAAAATTCAATATAAAATGTTAACGTGATTTAATTACAAAATATAAGATAACATAGAAAGAGTAGGAGATGGAGAGAGCAGACAATCGAAGTTTTACTACTAAAAGTTTTGCTACTAAACCCTATTGATGGCATTAGTCTAAAGTGCTCAATTATCCAAAATAAAAGAAAGAAGGGTAGGTACATGTTACTTTCAGAGCAGTCCGATAGCATTAAATGTCAGGGTGTTTCCACTGGCTTTTTGACTAATACAAATAAATCAAACTTGTCCACGTTCAATTCGTCACCGTTTTTTTTTTTTAATATAGGTCAGGTTGGCATTGTTGGAAAAATATTAGGCTTCTAGAAAATCCTTTTTTATTTTTAAGAAAGAAAAAAAATGATATTAGGCTTCTAGAAAATCTTGATGATACATTTGTCAGATATTCAAAGAGATGATTCATTGACACACTTATAATTTACATGATATTGTCCTTCAACTTGCATATTGCCAATTGTACATAACATCAAGTGTGGTAGTTTTACACAAAGGACAAGGATTGTCTGCCCTCTCGTGTCATTCTGTTTTGTGTAATCACAATTAAGTCACGTCAACATTTTATATTTTTATAAAGATAATAAGACAAAAATGAATAGTAATATAAAATGTTAACGTGGCTTAACTGTGATCACACAAACAGGAGGGTACGGGAGGGTACCAGAAGTGGTAGGGCAACCAATCCTTGTCCTTACACAAAAGGTTTGGACAACTTTAGAAGCAGAACCAAACAGTTATATATTGTATTTTATTTTTATAAAATTTTTGATGTGGGACATATATTCAACGCGCTTCGTTACATAGGACTACTACATAGTGTGCCAAATATGCAATCAATCATTAAGTGCGAAAGCATGGTGTTACATTAAACTCAATAACTCGGACGCAACATGGACCTTTAGGAACCACAATCAAACCCACTATGATACCGTATCAGATAAACAAAGAAGCGGATCATTGGCCATTTCTAACCACACTGATAGTGTCATCCAACTTGCAATTTGTCATTTACTAAGAAATTTTAAAATGACAGAAATTGAAATTATGAGATTTTATTTTTTTAAATTTGTGAATTTTCTTATTTGGTTAATCTAAAAGAACAACGGAATTCAATACAAAATTTGTTAATTTTAAACTCTCAATCATAGAAATTGGGAAATGACACCTATTTACATGGAATTTAAACTTGAGAATTGAAGGTCCCAAATTCCAAGTTTTGTATCCATGCAGAAATTCTAAATTTCTATGGTTATGAATCCAAATAAGGGAATTGATGTATGTCAATTTATAAATTCTGACTTTTACCTAAATTTCAAGTTTATTTCCCTCATCCAAACATAGTGTTAGGGGTGATTCCAAATTGATCATAACATTTTAAAACACTCCAAATAACTAACGTTTTGAAAAATGGACATCTGTTAGGTTTATTAATATTAAATGATGACATGGACATATATTAAAGCTTGTTTTAACTTGCAAGTCATCAATGTAGTTTTGAATCTCCTAATTTTTCTATTTTTAGCCAAGCAAAGTTACTATTTAATTTGGCTAAAAGGGGTCGATTTGGGAGATTAGAGCTCCAAAGACAATGATTTGTGAAAACCAACTTTGATATTTGTCCGCATCATCAATTATTCAATTCGGTTTTGAAAAAAAAAAAAGAATCAGAATATGACAAAATCCTACTTTGGAAATGGAAAAGAAAAGGTGTGACATTAAGTGAAATTCTCATCCCTCCAACAGTTGATAATAGTTTGATATTTGATTGTATGATGCCATTTAATTAGATTTGGTCAATTTATTATGGTAAAATTATGTCACTACTAATTTGTTGTGGCCTTTTATATAAAATCTCATGACTATTGGGCCATGCATATAATTAATTTGAGGACGATATCAGTGTTGGACTAACTAGTAGTAATCCGTTGGATCAGGTGTCTGAAACCTAAACAGGTAATTGATAAAAACTCATGACCAATCTTTTAAGTCCCAGCTGCCAAGCTTCGCTCAGTTCCTTTAGTAAATAGGTATCTGAAGGATAGCCAAAGCTCTGCCACAAATAGAAATAGTTGTCTGAGTTCTCGTCTCCCAGTTCTGCATTTTTCAGAATGCAAAAGCGAGTTATGTGATACTTAGTGAATCTTATCGAGGCTCCAACACGGTCATGGAGGATTCAATCGTTGAAGATGTTTCTTTTTTCGCACCGGAAAGGGAAAATGTTTGGTTCTTACTCGAAGATTCTGCTTCAGATGATGAATATTTTCCTATAAAGAGACCTGGCTTTTTGGGTTGAGGCAATGCACTCTCACCACCTAACATCAGAACCACAGATGACATGGTCGGCCTGTCTTCGGGAAGCTGTTGCACACATAGAAGACTAACATGTATGCAACGCAAGACTTCTGATAGACTGCACGAGTCTGTTAAGTATTCATCAATCAGCTCTAAAGACCGCCCTTCTTTCCACAATCGCCACGCCTGAGGCACATATATCATGTCAAATCGTCTGTCACAAAATCAACACACAAGTAAATGAGGAATTCAATAGTTGATGCTCACATGTCCAATTAGGTTGTGATTGTGATTTGGATCATAAAACCCTCTACTTCTCTTTCCACTTAGTGTCTCCAGCAGTAAAATACCGAAGCTGAAAACATCGGATTTTATAGAGAAATGACCATCAATCGCATATTCTGGTGCCATATAGCCGCTGTCGTATTTCACAAGAAACAAAACACTTAAATTATGAAAGTAGTATGCTAAAGTAGATAATAGACAGAGATGCATTGTAATACTTACTAGGTTCCAACAACTCGTTTTGTAACTGCTTCAGTTTGATCTCCTCCAAAAAGTCTAGCCATGCCAAAGTCTGAGATTTTCGGGTTCATATCTTTGTCAAGCAGCACATTACTGGCTTTAAGATCTCTATGAATAATCCTCAGTCTGGAATCTTGATGCAGATAGAGAAGTCCCCTAGCGATCCCACGGATAATGTGGAAGCGTCGAGACCAATCCAACTTTCTACCTTGAGTTTGATCTAGCAAGTTTAAATCCATGTCACTAAAATTTAAATTCTCAAAGATGCAAATTCAAGAGTCTTAGAACCTATTATACGATATTTGCAGTACTAAAACTAATTCGAACAGTATTATTAAGTTTTAAAGAACCCGAACCAAAAATGTAGAAGTCCAGGCTTTTGTTTGGCATGTATTCATAAATCAGCAATTTCTCTTCTCCCTCAATGCAACAACCAATAAGCTTTACAAGATTCCGGTGCTGAAGTTTGGCTATCAGTGTAACTTCATTTTTGAACTCGGCCTGTCCTTGACCAGAACTTTGTGAGAGTCTCTTCACCGCCATTTCTTGGCCATCTTCTAGTCTACCCTGTAAATTCTCTTTAGTGAAAGGATTACAATGTTTTGAACAGAACAGTTGCTTCCCTTGAGTTTACGCTTCTTATGTGCACAATGTTAGAAATTTACCTTGTACACAGATCCAAAACCACCTTCTCCAAGCTTCGTGTTGAACGAGAAGTTATCAGTCGCTGTGATTAATGTGGACAAGCTAAACAATGGTAGCTCCAGGTCTTCGTTCTGTCCTGCAGTGTTCTGACCCATCATTCCATCTCTCCCCAGTTTCTCTAATACAAAGAAGAAGAAAAATGTAATCATCAAATGCAATAATCAGAAAAGTTGTCATAACTAAAATAGAAAAAACAGTGGAGGACTAAACTTTCCATATTTTTGTTGTATGCATATTAGTGTCGAAACAGAAGCTTCAGTTACAACAAACTGCATGGGAACTCCTAAACCTGAATTTCCCAATTCGGAAACACGATGATATATATGGACTAACGGACATGTGCTTTACAAAGTTGAATGTGGTTGTGGTTAATGAAATGTTACCTCTGAACTTTTGCCTCCTTCTGCAAGTGTAGTAGACGGCTAAGAAAATTCCCAAAACAAAGGAAACAGCGGATACAGCTATCGCTATTATCTTCGTCTTAGATGAATTTTCTGCACCATGGTCAATTCAACAGGGCAAAGCAACACTATAGTTAAAACTTCAACCTCATCATTAATGAAAAAATTACGAGAAGAACATAAAGCTGGGGGAGTAGGGTTCGAAGAGTTTAGACGAACATAAAGCGCGGGCAAGTAGAACAGTTAAACAATGATTTGATGTCACTAGCACTCCTAAATACTTATTAAGGAGAAAGAAAATAAGGGTTTGACATACTTAATTCGGAAGCAAGCATTCGGACATACAGATCCTGCCCGCTGTCAGGAAGCTGCCTAAGGCTGATCAGATCACCAAACCAAACAGTGCAGTCACTGCCTCCTCCTTTGACACTAGCGCTTGCATAAGCAATACAAGAACAGTTATTCAAGCAACTTGCCTTGCATTCCTCAACACTCCTACTTTGTTCCACCCGAGAATTTGTGGCATCCGGCAACTTCACACCCCCATATTTAAAAAACACATCTCTGGTTTGGCACATCAGCGGCTTAACACGCACGCAACCTGCCGAATTATCTCCATAGTTCCAATTCTGAGGGTCTTTTGGTTGGAACCCTTTTAAGCAGCTGCAAACTTGTGAATTGTTAATGTCACACATTCCGTTGGGGCCGCAACGGCTGTAATTGTCACAGATATCTCTTGAAGCTGAAGCCAATAGACTCCTGTAAATACCAGACTTGAAAAAACCCAATTGAAATCTGCCATCTCTCAGGGTTTGGGATCGAGTAGCTTCAGCTGCAAGTGAGGGTTTGAAGAAAGAGAGGGACACCTGAAAGGCAATGAACATGACTGAAAAAATGGTGTCCATTGTTTCTGGTCTTGGAGTTGTATGTATAATCTATATACTACTGCTACTAACTGCACTCTGCAAATTTGATGTTTTGCACATTTAGATAAAATTTTGCCAGAAGAAAATAAACATAAGAACAAGGTTAGATAACATTCGTGAATCTTGATGGGGGCATTGGCCATGAACCACATGTCAGTTGACTTTTGGTCCACGTTGGCCCCACTTGTTGAGCTATTTGCGTGTCTCGTGATGTGACACCGGTGACAAGTCCTTGCTATTAAGAACTGATTTGATACTCACATGTTTTTATAAAAAAATAAGTATAAAAAAAAAGTTGAGCTTAAAAAGAAGTTTGGTAAACACTTAAAAATAACTTATTTTCATAGTTTTTTTGTAAAAAAAACTGAAAACGTGAAACATAAAAAATGAGCTTTGCGAAAAAGCAAAAAACATGAAGTAGTATAAACGTTGGATTATGATTTCTTGTTAAACGTTGAATTATATGTTTAAGGTCAAGTTTATAAATATTTTTCTTTTTAAAATAAAGTATATTTAATAATTTATCTTTATTTGTTAAGAAAATTAAATTAATAGCACATCTAGTATTATATATTTTTTTTGTTATTTCACACAGTCACGGCTGTTTTACATAAAAATTTAACAGACACTGTAGGATTGCTTTTTTTTTTTTTTTTTTTTTTTTTCCAAAATCACTTTTACAAAAAAATTTACTTATTCTCACAAAATAACAAAAACAGTTTTTTTTTTTTTTTCAAAATATAGCAATACCAAATCAATCCTTAGCCTTATAGATGGAATTAGTGTAATGTGCTCAATTATCTAAAGAAAAGAAAGATAGTTTGGTGAAATGTTACTTTCAGAGCAGTCCGATAACATAAATGTGACGGTGTTTCCGCTGGTATTTTTTTTACTAACCCAAAAGAAAAACTTGTCCACGCTCGATTCATCAAGTTTTCTCTGTAGCTCAGGTTGTCATTGTTGGAAAAATATTATGCTTCTAGAACTCTTTTTCTTTTTTGTTCTTTTTTTTAATTATTTGTCAAGCAAGATCATTTTCATTACATTAAAAACTAATGCAAGGCTAAAAAAAAAAAATTTAGGTAAACAACTAACTACAAAGGCCTAACTAGATTATTAGAGCTCATTTGGATGTGTTTTTAAAATGATTGAAGCTCTTTTGGTGAAAATCATTTTTGAAACAATTTTTAGTAAAAATGCTAATAAATCCTGAAAAAACACTTAAAATGCTTTATGGAAAAAGCACATAACTGGTGCTTCTTGTAGAAAGCACTTACAGTGCTTTTGGAACCAAAAACATTTTCTCTAAAAGCATTTTCAATCATTTTAAAAGCACATCCAAATGAGCACTTAGTCTATGTGGTAAAAAAAAGATAGTCATTGTGGTAAACAAATAAGATTTAAACTCTTGTGGTAAAGTCTGTTAGGATTTAGGCCTTAAATTAAAAATTTCGTCAATTTTCTGTTAATTATTAGCACATAAGCCACAAATATGAGGCTAAAACGGAACTCTATGTTAATTCTTAGTACGTGAGGCTTACATGTGATGCTAACTTTATCTTTTTAGCCTCACATGTGAGCCTCAATTGACAAAGAGTTGACGGAATTTTCAATTTTGTGCCGAAATCCTAACAAACTTCACCACAGGGCTTAAATCCTAATTTTTTTTTTACCTCAGGGGTTACCTTCCGACTACCCTATCACTACGAGAACTATTAATCTAATTAAGCCAACTACAAATAAAGTAAAAGGCCCAAGCAAAATGATTATCGAGTTGGGTAAAGGATGTTAAATCGCATTGCAATCATGCATTGGTTATTGATAATAATTTGATATTTGATTGTATGATGCCACTTAAATTAGTTTGGTCAATTTATTGTGAAAGGATTACGTCCTTACCGAGTTGTTGAAGTTCACCCTTCATTGTTCATGTAGGTTTACGAACTAGACAATCAAGAGGGTAGGCGGGATGAGAATGAATTAGATGGGAGGCTAGAAGTTTATTTATCTAATTTAGCCTTGTAAATAATTCTTGAGTACTATTTATCAATTGTACTTGAACTGTTAGATAATTATAGTCGGTGATACCATCACTATTACCAACGCTATTACAGAACCATACATGAGATTTTCACCTCATATGGCTCCTTGAAGGCCAGAAATAAATATAGGGACTGCGTCAGTATTATGTTTTTGAATCTTTGATATGCTTGTAGGATGGATAACTATTGGCCGGTCCCAAAATTAGACCAATTGAATTTTGTCTATTATAATTATTTTAATTTGAAATTAAATAATAAAAAAGTTATTTATAAGAGAAAATTTTATTTTTCACCCGTTTTAGTTTCTTTTTATTTATTTATTTAATTCATTTTTAGCTTGCATTTTGAATTCAGGTCTTTCAGCCGACTTCGAATCTAGGATGTAAAAGGAACACAACCATCTAGAACAATTTTGGTTTTCTTTTCTTGTTTGCGTGTGTAGCTTTCATGGTTGAAATTTAATATGTAATGTTTTAATACTTGTGTGTTTTATGATTATGAAACATGAAACATCTCTATTTGAACTCACATTGCCTCAATGAAATGCACTAAAATTCTAAACCTCTCACCTTTATGGTCGGCTTGACTTTTTTTTTTTAAGACCAGAAAAAAACAATATTTAAAGATCAATAAAAAACAACGGATATATCAAAAGAAAATTGCATGCGAAAATAACTTTTCGGTTGTTTTTTCAATCAACGATAGTGTGCGGATTCAAATTTGTAACCTTAACTAACATTGGGAACATTTTGACCAAAAAAAAAAAAAAAAAGACCGCCTCTTACCCACCATCTCAGACTATCGCCCCCAGCTTGAAATCAGGCCAAACATGGTCCCCAAACTGGATGAAGAAGAAACACTTACATCCTCCAAAGAGCACCACCGAAATCTCCGTCCCAAATCGAAACAAACACACGGGAAGAACCAGCCTACAAATACCAGTGACAACGAAAGCAAAGAGAAGGAAGGAGGTGGTGGTGTGAACACCCGAGCCGAAGCTTTACGCACCTTCTAGGGAGATCGCGAGAAATCGCGTTGAATGTTAGTGTATGTGTGTTTACTATGTATTTCAATGGAGGTTTTCTGCAACCTTCGAAAATGGTAGAGAATATAGAGAGAATTTTAGAGAGAAGATGATGGAATATATTTCTGATTTTTTTTTTCACATTGCAAACATGTGTGTGTTTGTTACAGTTATACATGGAAAGGAAAGGAGATCATCACTCACCAAACCAAGATACAATCTCAACCCTTAATTGCTATCACCCTATGAGATGATGCCACTTGTCTTAATCTATTACTTAAGCTAGATACAAGATTGAGCTGCCATATAGACTATTATCCAATGGCTCATATTCAAACTAAAAACAAAAACATTTAAATTGATCTTTGCCGCCAAGCTTCAGCTGAAAGGTTACACACCAACACTCCCCTCAACCCTTTATCTGATTTAACTCCGAGTAGCTCCCTTAGATATGCAAATCGATCTTTAGGCAAAGCTTTAGTGAATATGTCTGCAATTTGCTCATCAATCTTGCAGTACACCAGTTCAATCTCTTTGGCTTAGATTGCTTCTCAGATGAAATGAAATTTTCTGCTGATGTATCTTGTCTTTTGATGAAGGATAAGGTTATTTACCATAGCAATGGCTGATGTGTTATCACACATGATCTGAGTTCCTTCCACTTGTTTTTCTCCAAAATCTTTAAGTACAAACCTCAGCCATTTTGCTTGAGAAGTAGCTTCTGCAGCACTAACATATTCTGCTTCTGCTGTGGACAATGCCACTGTGCTTTGTTTGATCGATGCTCATGAGAATACACCGGATCCTAGTGTAAATGAAAACCCTCAAGTGCTCCTCATATCATCCTCACTTCCTGCCCAGTCACTATCACAATAACCAATTAGAGTAGTTGTCTTCCCTTTTTCAAAAACAATTCCAAAATTAATTGTTCCCTAAATGTATCTCAGTACCCTCTTTGTTGTCCTCATGTGTTTCTTGGTAGGATTATGCATGAACCTTACCAATAGACTTGCTGCAAACATCACATCAGGTCTAGTTGCAGTCAAATAGAGCAAGCTTCCTATAATCTGCCTATATTCTCCTTTATTTGCAGCTTCACTTCCATCAATCTTGCTCAATCTTTCATTCATTGCAAGTGGAGTAGCTACTGCTTTGCAGTCTTTTAAACCAAACCTTTCAATTAACTTCTGTGCATACTTTTTTTGGTGTTTGAAAATACTTTTCTCAGTTTGTAGTACTCACATTCCAAGAAAGTGGTGTAACAATCCAAAATCTGTCATCTCATAGTGATTCATCATGTCATCTCTAAACTCTTCAAGCATTTGTGGACTGTTACCAGTGTATACAATATCATCTACTTATAAGGAGACAATAATGATACCCGAATCCTCCCTCATTTTCACATATAAAGTTGCTTCACTTGAGCTCTTCTTGAAACCAACACTGTTGAAATAGGCATCAATTTCATCATACCAGGCCCTTGGTGCCTGTTTTAATCCATACAGGGGGCGTTTGTTGCACCGGATTATCTCGGACTGGATTAGCTTCAGGGATTACGCTGGACTGGCTTAGACTAGACTAAGATGGACTAACTTAGTGTAGCGTTTGGTGCAGTGTCGGATTAACAAGTAGGATAATGAAAATAATACTTTAGTTTATTGTAGAAATTAATTTATTATTAATTTCTTCACATAATCTCTCTTTCAGCTTCCCTTCTCGATCTCGAGTCCACCAGCAAGCTGCTCCACTTCCCTCGTTAACTTCACAATTTCACCATCTCTATACTCATCGCCCTCTCAATCTCAAACTTTATCTCACATCATTTGCTCTATCTGGGTCAGAACAAAAACACCACAAACACTCTTCTCCAACTCTAACCCAACATTTTCCTTACTCTACTCACTCAACTCGCTCACAAGTGGCTCAATCTCCACGGCGGAACCAACTCAGCTTGGACTCCAAATTTGCCATGCCCTACACCAGCGACTCCACCTGCTGCTGGCGGTCCTTGGTTTTATTGCGCAG